AGAGGCAAAGTGACCTGCCCAGGGTTGTACAATTAATATTTAGTGATATTTTGCATAAAAAAGACATTTTGAAATCAGAGCATCCTTAGTCACTTTCTACCAATAAGGGCTTATATGTTTCTTAACTCCATTATGCCTACACCAAACAAGGTTATCTCAGGCATTAAGCTACAACTATAAAATCTGGGGCAGCCCGGGTGGCTCAGCCATTTGGCGCCTTCCGCCCAGGGTGTGGTCCTGGAGACCCACATCAAGTCCTGCGTCGGTTCCCTGCATGGAGCCTGCTTCTCCCTCTGCCTCTCTCTCTCTCTCTCTCTCTCTCTCTCTCTCTGTGTGTGTGTGTGTGTGTGTGTGTCTCTCTCATGAATAAATTTTAACAATCTTTAAAAAAAATAGGGGATCCCTGGGTGGCGCAGCGGTTTAGCACCTGCCTTTGGCCCAGGGCGCGATCCTGGGGACCCGGGATCGAGTCCCACGTCGGGCTCCCGGTGCATGGAGCCTGCTTCTCCCTCTCCCTCTGCCTGTGCCTCTGCCTCTCTCTCTATGTGTGACTTTCATAAATAAATAAAATTAAAAAATAAAATAAAAATAAAAACAAATCTGAAGAGTTATTTTTTGAAGCTAAAACTGGCCTACATATGAACTTATTTTCAAATGTGGAATTTCCTACTTGTTTTACTTCAAATAAAAATCCCAAGTTTCTGAAACTATAAATTTTAGATAGGAAACTGAGGTAGGGGAAAGAGAATGTACAATCTATGGTTCCCTAATCTATCTAGAACCAAGTCCAAACTCCATAGTTACAGGTCTTTAATACTATGGCCCCAGCTCATCGCTCCAGTCATATCGGTCATTGCTGACTTCCACAATAATACTGAGTTCTGTGGCAACGATCAATTTTTAACAAAAATACCTGCACTTTTCCCTCTTTGTAACTCCATCTAACTACTTAATCTATTGAAATTTGTTCTCCAAAACCCAAATGAAATTTATTTTTAATGTGAAGCCTAACCTTGCTTCCAAATATTGAGGAATGATGGCTCCCTCCTCTGAAATCTGTATCCCTTTGCTTTATCTCTCTTAGGGTACTTCTTGCCTTATAGTTTAAATTAGCATGAGAAAAGTTCCACCAGCAGAGCATAAATCCCCTAAACGTAGCTGAAAGAGAACATTTCCTTTAAATTGCTTTTCTAATGATTTTATACACATAGTTTCATGTAGAATTTGTGACACCATATGAAATAGGAATTTATTTTTTACACGTAAGGACACTGCAAGTCACACAGGTTAGACAATATGCTTATAGTCCTAAAGTTAGTAGGTGACAGAGCCTATATTTGAATCTTGGTCTTTCTAACTCAAAATGTAGGCTCTTTCCAGAAACCATGGGTATAATCTCACTGCTTTATCTGACTGCTTCCTACCTACCTACTAATCATCAGTGGGGAAACCTCCATTGACTTTTGTCATTAACAATCAGCAGAAAGGATTGATATAGGGTACTCGCCTTCCTACTTTTCAAGACAAAGAACAGACTCTTGAGAGCAAAAAGAATGATTAATATGAATCCTAAATAAAGCTGAAGAGATCAGAATCCTGCTCCCAAGAAGGAAAGTAAAAAAACACTACTTTTCCACTCTTTAAAAACTCCTCTTCCTTTGAGGTGTCCACCATCTGGCTATATCACTCTCTACCCCTACTCCTCATCTGTCATCCGCCACCCTCTCAATTAATCCCTTCCATTCACTGCTCCTGGGTCACAATCTTCCTCTCTTCCCTAAATCACTTCACTATCCACACAGATGACCCATTCAATACAACAGCCTCACAGTTGCTGTCACACTTGGTTTCACCAACCTTCACCTCTGGGGTACCTCAGCACAGAGACCGAGCTGTCACTTGGAAGGGCTCCACACCACACAAGTTAACTCCGATATCCCACCTTCTGACCACAACCTCTCTTTTTTCTGGCTTATTTGAGCCACATCTATTCACTAATTTAACTCAAGCTACTGAAAAAACTTCGAATTCCAAAATCGAATTCATCATCCAGTGTTTCTTGTCTCAGTTAATGTCACCACCATCCCCCTAGTCACCCAAACCAAAATCTGAGCATCATGCTGGACTCCTGACCCTCTCATCTACACATCCAATCAATCATAAAGGCTCACAGATTCTCAAAACTTCAATCTTTTTTCTTTTTTTAAAGATTTTATTTATTCATGAGAGACACAGAGAGAGGCAGAGACACAGGCAGAGGGAGAAGCAGGCTCCTTGCGGGGGATGGGGAGCCCCATGTGGGACTCGATCCCAAGACCCAGGGATCACTACCTGAGCCAAAGGCAGACACTCAACCACTGAGCCACCCAGGCGTCCCCAATCCTTTTTCCTCATCCCTATGACCACATTTTAAAAGTGTTATTCCACCACGCCCGATAAAAAAACCTCCAGGGATATAAAAAAAAGAAAAATCACCTGCATATACAAGTACAAGGTCTACTATGGTATGGTCTCCACCTCTATTTGCAACTTTATAACTTACCATTTCTGTCTTTACTGTTATATTCTTAGCTTTCAAACTGCTTGTGGTTTTCTACGCAAGCCAGCCGTTCCTTCTCACACTGATGCCTTTCCTCGAGCGCACTTTTTACCCTTCTCTGCTTGCCTGTCTTCTACTTAACCATTTATCCTTTGGGTCAGGTGTCCTTTCTTTTCAAAATCTTCCCTCAAGTCCTAGGCTAGTCAAAACACCCCAACGGTGGGGCAATCACAGCATCAAATGCATCTCTCTCACCTTTTATTCTGAGATGAGTTATTTGGGCATTTAATTTGCCAATTCCACAAGGATTGAAAATGTAATTTACTCATCTCAGTATACCCAGCTAAAGGCAGTCCATAGACATAGTGTCAGACGCAAAGTAGATACAAAGGCTTAGAGCACTAAGTCTAGTAAATGCCAAGTGTAACTGTGCAGCAGTATCTTCACACCAGTTCTTTCTCATAGAGTTTTCAGTATTTCCAACCATTAACTTCAAGTTCTGTGAAGGGAAGGAACCAGAGCTTTTCCTGAGCCTTTATGGCTCTGTACAGAATGGTTCTATACAAATTTTACCCAAGTGACGTAAAAGGAAATAGCATTTGCACAAACAAATCAGAAATCAAAACCTGACATGTGTGTTACAAACTTCAAAACCACTGACCAATTTAAAAAATAAAGACATAAGAACAAAGATAAAGAGCCAATTCTGACTGCTGGTACGTGCTTGCCTACATCATAAAAACAGTGAAAGTTTGCTTAGAATTTGAACAGGGTCCCCAGACACAAGTTTGGCATTTCATCTACACAGCCATCACATCTCTGCTGGACTTTAAAAATCACTAACCTGCAGGGCTGCTTAGGGTCGGACGTTAGGGCGCCGGTAAAAGGCACTTCTTAAAAACTTAACCCTCACATACCAAGGCTGAGTGATGAAAAAGCAAGCAAAAAATAATGCTGGTAAATGAGCAACAGAAAATGTTCTTTTTCATAGTAATTTTGGGCCTTCTGCTGGCAGTTAGAAACAGAGCAAAGAGTTCGATGTAATAAGCATTCCCCTCTCCAACTAAATATTGAATTGCAGTCTGGCCCCAAACTAGGTCTCAATCCTTTTTCAGGGTAAAAATAATCAGCTCTCCTATTTGCGCGCTGCACCGTCTGCCACACTTTGATACACATCGGCTCGCTTGATAAAGCGTCGACACAGTTGTTTGTTTTTATTTTTAATGAGGGGGGAAACCCAAACAGCTTCCTAAAACAAGATCTCTTTTTAGTTCGTTTGAACACAGTACTGGTCTTTTTTTTTTTTTTTTAAGTTCAAACTACAGCACAGAAATGAGGAGCGGGGGGGGGGGGGGGGCAGCCCTGGTGGTTCGACGGTTTAGCGCCGCCTTCAGCCCAGGGCGTGACCCTGGAGACCCGGGATCGAGCCCCACGTCGGGCTCCCTGCGTGGAGCCTGCGTCTCTGCCTCTGTGTCTCTCATGAACAAATGAATAAAATCTTTTAAAGAAAGAAAGAAAAGAAATGAGGAAGGGAATACTTATTTTTTTTTTTTAAGCAGGTCAATCCGTGGGACCAAGGAACTTCTTGGGGAAACTCGTAGGTTCTGTGTCCTCACACACTCGAAGGGGCGAGAAGCCCTCCTTCGAGGCGGACGCGGGCAAGCTCCTTCAGAGGAGGGACCGGAGTAAACCGCGTTAAAAACACCCCAAGGAACTGGAATTAGTTGAAGAGAAGACACGACTCCGGGGCCGGGATCCCTACCTCAGACACCTCCACAGCTGCGCATGAGGGAGAAGAACCGCTTACAACGTGGGGCCGCGGTTCCCCTCAACCAGAACCGCATTTCTGGGACGGAGCGGCTTCCCCACCCCCGGACGAGGTGTTCCAACAGGTTCGTCAAACGAGGAGGGTGTTTTTGGGGGTGTTTCCCCGGGGCCTCGGGGCGCGGCGGGAGCTCCCCTTCCCGTCAGGCGCTGTTCTGGGGCTCACCCCGCGCCCCCCCAGCCCCTCTCGGGGCCCTCGGGCCGGCGCTCCGCGGCTCCACACCTGCTCTCCCCGCCCGTTTCCGGCCCCGCCGCCCGCGACCCCCCGGGCAGCCCTCGGCGCCCGAGCGGAGCGACGGACCGACCGACAGACCGACAGCCGCTCGGACGGCGACCCGCCGCGCCCCCTCCGCACGCGCCCCCCCGCGTCAGGGCCGCTGAGGCGCCGCGGCCGCCGGGGCTGGGGGCGGGGGGGCGGGGGGGCGGCTGCCGCGGCCGCCGAGGGCCGCCGAGGGCCGCGCTCGGAGCGCAGCCAGGCCCGCGGCCGGACAGGCAGCGGCCGGCCGCGGGCCCTCAGGGCGGGGGCGGAGGCCCGCGGGGCCCGTCGCCGCCTCCTCGCCCCGGGCGGCGCCCGCCGGCCCAGGCCCCTCAGGGCGCGCGCCCGCCGGGGAGCGGAGGCGGCGGCCGAGACGCTTACCTGCGGGCGCAGCGGCGGCGCGGGGCGGCTCACTCCCTTCCCGCCGCCATGTTTCCGCTGCGCAGGGAGCCCGAGCGGACGCGCGGAGGGGCGGGCGGGCGGCCGGGCGGGGGCGGCTCCGGGGGCCGGCGGGCGGGCGCGCGGGCGGGCGGCGGGGGGTCGATCGCGGCGGCGGCGGCGACGGCGGCGGCGGCGGCGGCGGCGGCTCCCGGGCCCCGCCCCTCCCTCCCGCCGCGGGGTGGCGCGCGCCTCGGCCGTTGGGCCCGCGCGCGCGGGGGGCGGGGCGGGGAGGGCGCCACCGAGCGGCCCGGCCCTCCCCCCGGGGGCCCGACCCGGGCGGGTAAACTGAGGCGGGCAGAGGGCTCAGGGCTCAGGTTCGAGTCCCGCCGGGGGCGAGACGGCCGGGCCAAGAGCGTTTAGGTCTCGGCCCCGCAGCCCGACTGACGGGGCTCGGGTCCCCGCCCCGCCGCTGACCCGCCGGGTGATGGATGACCTTGAGCCAGTGCCCTCGCTCCTCGCCCGCCGGGGGCCCGCGCGTCACGTGACCCTGCTGTGCCCGGTCGGCGCAGGACCCGCCGCCCCCGCAGGGCTCCGCGGGCGCCCCGCCGCGCTCCCCGCATCCTCCGCCCGCATCCGCCCCGGATGGCCCCACGCACAGGGGGACACCGCTGGCCCGGGGTCCGCCGGCGAGCGAACGACTGAGTGGGGAAGACTGATCGCCGCCTGCCTGAGCTCGACGCCTGCGTACGCTCCGCGCAGGGAGTGGTGGGCTCCGCGGGGGTCCAAGGAGGCACCCGAGGGCCCAACACGGTCAAGCTGGCTCTTAGCGGAGCCTGCGGGGTGGGGGTGGGGGTGGGGGTGGGGGTGGGGGTGGGGGGCTAATTTGGGGGCAGAGAGAGAAGGATGGATGCAGAGGCGTAAAGACGTGACACCGTGTGGCTGGCTGGTGGGAGCGGCGTGGCAGGAGTATGGAGACCTATGGACGGGGTGGGTGGTGATGCGGCTGAAGGAAGCCAGAACCCGGGAGGAGGCGTTTAGAGGGTCCAGAATGACCTTGAATGTCCTTGTCTGCCTACCTTAGAAGTCACCCTGTAGGCCAGTGGTTTTCATCGCGTGGTCCCCCGCGACCCCTGGATCTCCCTCGGATCCTTCCCGGGGTCACTGAGCTCCGAATTATTTTCAGAATAATGCTAAATGTGGTTTGCTTGCTTGCTTGCTTTTTTTTTTTTTTCACCCATTCTCCCACGAGTGTACAGTGAAGTTTTCCATAGAACATAGGACATACTGGGGGGCCTGGGGGGCTCAGCGGTTGAGCATCTGCCTTTGGCCCAGGGCGTGATCCTGGAGTACCAGGATCGAGTCCCACATCGGGCTCCCTGCATGGAGCCTGCTTCTCTTTCTGCCTCTCTCTCTCTCTCTCTCTCTCTCTCTTCTCTCTCTCTGTGTCTCTCATGAATAAATAAATAAGAATCTTTAAAAAAAAAAAAAGAATATAGGACATACGGTATTGCAACAGCTTAAATGCAGAAACAGATTTTAGGATCCAGCTGTCTTCTTTTAAGCCAGTCGTTAAAGAAATTGGCACAAATGTAAGACGCCACTGTTCCCATTAATATTTTGTTATAGAAAATGTAGATTTCTTTTTCATTAAAAATGTGTTTATGTTAACATGTAATGAGTTTATTACTGTGATTTTTAAATGAATAAAAATTTAGAAATCTCTCAGTTTTAATTGCTAATGTGGTTAATCTTGACAGAAGGAACAAACTGCATAAAAACAAAAAAAGCCCCTCAAAATCCTCAATAATTTTTTCAGCGTGGAAAGGGGTCTGGAGACCAAAAGGTTTCTGAATGCCCCTGCTGGAGCATTAAGAAGCTACTGAAGTGTTAAATGGGGGAGTAACTTAATCAGCTTTCTTTCTGAAAGCTTCTTCAGAAAGAGCTTTCAAGACCCAAGCCAGGGCTTGAGGGATATGTTCCCAAGGCACCTGCATACCAGGCAGAGGGATAGAGAAAGGAAAGTGCAGGGCTGGTAAGCAACAGTGCTAGGACACTGGATGACATCAGTCTTTTTATTCCTAATTTGGTGCGGCCTCATCCCCTGACAGGTCAGCACCAGGGCAAGTGTCTTATTCCTTTATTTCCACTGAGCCCCATGTACTGAGGATTTTGCTCATGTTTTCTGTGAATGCTCCTCCTTCTGACCCCAGTACACCTTCCTTCTTATTGCCTGTTTTCTTGAGAAGCAAGTTGTCAGGGAGGTGGATGAGAGGAAGGGAAGAAATTGCTGAAGACAGCCTGAGTAGGCCTGGGAGTCCTGGCAGAGGGTCCTCTAAAGCTCCACAGCCCAGGCTATCCTCCACAAACCCCTAGAGCTCTTTAGGTAGTGAGGGTGGGGGGGGGGGGAACAACTGAATTAAAAGCTCTGCTGTCTGGAAAGCTGCTTTTGAAGAGAAGTTCCCCCACAGTGCTGAGAGTCTATTCCTTTAACGTTTTTTTAAAAAAAAAAATCCATACCAGATGAAAATCTTTTAAAGGTGTATTAGGAACTTCCTAGCCATACTAAGTATGCAGAAATAGATTCATTATTTTCTTGATTTGTTATATGTTCTGGTAGCAATATCGCACTTTTTTACAAAGAAATCCTCTTGAGCTGTTGGAGAGTGAAGGATTATATTCCACTTTAACAAATACCCCAGAATGCTATGCTTTGGGGTTCTCGTGATGGCTTCTTAAAGTTTCAAGTTGTTAGCTGCCACTTATCTTATGGGCATAATGGTCATTATGCCCATCCCCTTCCAACCTGCTTCTAATTTGCTAAAGCCAAGAAGGTAAATAGTCCAAGCTCCCCGGAGCATCAGATAGTCTCTGAATAAGGGTCTGAGGGACTGTCCTAGGGTGAAGCCCTGTGAAAGCCAGCTGCAGTGGCAGTAGAGTGGGGTGGTTGATTATGAGCTGTGGGGTTGGTTAGCCTTAACTTCTCTGGTTTCAGTTTCTTCCTCTCTAGGATAGAAGGGGGATAATCATGTACCTGTCACATCAAGTTGTTGGAAAGAGTAACTCAGAGCATGTCATCTAGGTCACCAGCCCCCACCCCAACCTTTTTTGTTCTTAGCTCAGTTCCATTAGACAATTCCATCCAGAGTCCTTAAACTTCATGGGTTAAAAAAACAAAAAACAAAAAACAAAATCATGACTCTCCATCCTAAACCTTCTTTCTAGTTGTGTTCCCCCGTTTCAGACAATGGCACTGCCATCCTCCTAGTCAGTCAGTCTTAATGCCATGGTAGTGCTTTTTAAAATGCTTCCCTGTTGTCTGTCCTCCACATCCAATCCATTTCCAAAGCACCCTGCCTTTTCCCTAGTGGAGGCTCCATTCCATGGACTAAATTCCAATTAGGTTAGGAATTGTAACCTAATTCAGACTCTTCTCCCAAACTTACCTCCTACAAGCTTCATGCCAGTCCCCAGTTTCTAAAGCTCAGTAAGTCCTCAGTACCTATAGGACAAAGTCCAATGCCTTAGCCTTGAAAACTCAAGGCTCTCCATGATCTGGCCATAACTTTCCTTTCTAAATTCATTTCTCTCCATTCTGCTTTACTTGGCTCACTTGTACTTTTCTACATTTGTCCTTTGCTACTCTGGGCTTTTCCAGGAACTGCTCTGTCTTCTAGAATGCCTTCCTCTCTATTTCTTTTATGTCCTGATTCTACCCATCTTTGAAAACTCTGATTTCATACTGCCTCCACAAAGCCTTCCCTGATCTTCCAGTTTGAATAATAAAAACCAACATTTTATGTAATGCTTACTTTGAATCAGGTACTTTTCTACATGCTTTACATGTACTATCTTAATTAATTCTTGTGAGAATTTAATCTTCATAACAAACCTAGTTAGTAAGCATGACTATGACCTGCATTTTACAGATGAGAAAACCAAGGCACAAGAAGGGAAAGTAACTTGTCCAAGGTCACATAGCTAGTAAATGGTGGAGTCAGAATAGGAACCCAGGCAGCCTGGGTAGAGGCAGAATAGGAACCTCTACAGCCCATTTTCTCAATCACTGGACCAAAATGAAAGGACTTTTCCCGCCTCCACTCCTGTTAGCGCGTGGCAGGCCATTCAAACATCTATTAGGGTCTTTAACCTTTTCTACCTCATTATCAGTTAGCATGTTTTATCTTGCCCTCTTACATAGTGAATTTCTTAAGAGCAGGACCAGTGTCTGATCTAAAACAGTGCCTACTAGATTTCTTGACCCTCTAAATATTTAGTAACTGTTTTAAAGGCAGACTATTCCATAGCAATAAGAATGAATGATTTAAAGCAGGATTGAGGGATGCCCGGGTGGCTGGGACACCTGGGTGGCTTAGTGGTTGGGCGTCTGCCTATGGCTCAGGGCATAATCTCAGAATCTGGGATTGAGTCCCACGTCGGGCTCCCTGTGTGGACCTTGCTTCTCCCTCTGCCTGTGTCTCTGCTTTCCTCTCTCTGTGTCTCTCATGAATAAATAAATAAATCTTTTTTTTTTTAAAGCAGGATTGATAAATCATGGGTCTTTGGGCCAAATCTGGCCTGACTCCTGTTTGTGTATGGCCCAGAAGGTAAGAACATTTACCTTCTTTAATGGTTGAAAAAATCAGTAGAAGAATATTCATGACATGTGAAATTTATATGAAAATAAAGGTCTATTAGAACCCAGTCAGGTTATCTATGGCTGTTTTTTGTGCTACAATAGGCCTTATGACTACAAAGCCTAACATATTGACTCTGTGGCCATATATAGAAAAATTTGCCAAACCCCGATCTAGAGCCACATGTAATAATATAAAAATATCTTAGAAGTAGCATTCAACCAAAAAGGAATAAGCAGCATGTTGCCACTTATATAAAGTTTAAAAATAAGCGAAGCATTATCAGTTTTGTTTAGGGATCACTTCTTGTCCTTTTGGCTAAGATCAAGTGTAGTTTTGTTTAGGGACACACATACACATGTAGGAAAACGTAAAGACAAACATGGAAACTGTAAGTTCAGGGGAGTGGTTATCTCTAGAGGGCTGAGGGTGGAAATGCTATCAGGGAGAGTGCACAGTGAATTTTAACTATTTT